AAAGGGGCAGAAGCTAGGTTGAAACTGGAGGAGAATTCCAGTGCTCATTTGTGGATGATTTATAGAGATGAATGGGAGAAAGTCAATAATAGTACAAAATTTGAAGAGGCGAATGAACTCGAGAATATTTTCTAATGATGGGAGAGATTGAAGTATATCGGTTTGATGAGCTTGGAGAGAACCTTAAGTAAGGTTTGAATTGAGATGATGCTGAGGGTTATAAGTTGGAGTAACAGGCATGATAGTGGTGGGAAAGATTGGCGGGAAGCAGCTAGGGAAGAATGAGAGTTAAAGGTAGTTGCAAGAAGGAGATGGAATGAGATCCTTGGAGCAAGGTTGGAGGGAAGAGGGGGCACAGAAATCTTGGGCATCTGGAAGAGCAGAGAAGGATGGGGTTAATGAAATGAGGGCAAAGAGCAGATCAAACTGAGGTGTAATTGCATTTTTTCGATCATTTGGAGAGAGAGGTGGGGGCTGGAGCAGAAGAGAGTTTGAGAAGTGAGAAAGACATGCTGCAGAGTGGTGTGAGCCTGAGAAGTAGATTTGTTGATGCAGAAGAGTACAAACTCATAGTGAGGAAAGTTGGTTTATTGCAGGATTTCTGCAGAGACCTTTCTCGACTTTACAAGTAGGAGCAAAGGAAGCAGGTGTGCAGATGCTGGAACTGGATGGTGGAAACTAGTTTCAGGATGCTTTTACAGCATAGAATAACCTATATATTGTAGTGGCAGAGTAATTCCCTAGTACCTGCTATGCCTGCGGAGCTGATATTTACCAGGTATTTTTCCTTCCTCTTCTCTCCCCCCCACACAAAAGAAACTTTATGCTTAATGCAGTTCTGCTGCTCTGCCTGAGTCTACCATAGCAGACTGCTATGCTGCTTTAGCTGCTTCTGCATTAGCAAGTAGTATGACCCAGTAGAAACAGGTTTATGAAGTGAAACACGTAGCGCTGAGGACCACTGTGCAGATTATCTGAATTTCAGGCAGTTAACTTCTTGAGCTTTACTCATCCCATGCACTGAATGCCTGTTAGTGATTGGAGCACACTAGATGTGCTCCTGGAACTCACTTCTTTCTGGTTTAGTTTCCTCCCAAATAAATCCAGCGTGCATTCTGAAACTGCTTCATGCAGTGAATCAAAGTGTGGTAAGTGGGAAGATGAGGAGAGTCACTTCAAAAGCATACTCCTAACTTGAACTGAAACACTAACGTAGATACATCGTCTATTGGCCGCACTGTGTATTCCAGACTGGACCCCTGAGCTGGCAGAAATCTGTAATATGAATTTGTGCTCTAGTTGTTGGGCACAAACATATAAAGACTACAAAGTAAAAGCAGAGAGAACAATGAATAGCGTTTTCCCCAAAATGAAAATTGAATGGAGCTATAATGGCAGTGAGCAATCCAAACAAGAATAGCACAGAGAGTGTGAGTGATTGTATGAAGTCATGTTAGAAAGGAATATTAGATATAGATTCTGTGTAGGCTATTTTCATTCAGAAATGAACTCCAGAGGTTTTCCACAATTTTACTCGGCTAATGGGAAGCATTCAAGTCTGAGATCATAGCAGGCATGTTGCTTTTGCATTTGCAATGGAAATGCAGACCTGCTCTAAATGAACGTAGATGTCTTACGTAGGTTGACATCATTCAAGACATGCCTCTTCACGCTTTCCTCCTACACACATCCGCGATTGCTCCTGCACTCCAGACAGTAGCAGCAACAGCTGTAGCCGTCCTCCCACCTGTATGTTAATGTTTGAGGCAGGTGTGATGAGAGCCTCTTTCCTGGCATTATGGATAAGTGTGCTAAAACAGGGAATGGCCTTGCAGAAAGCCCAGTAGCAGCAGCAGGGAGGAGTTAAATTTTATTTTCCACATAAAACATTCAGTTAAAGTGGGAGTGGGGAATTTGCAGACATTTGTGGGTTTTGCCTCAGAAGTACTGAAAAATGTCTTGTTATGGATGAGGCATAAATGTTGTGTGGGCTGTACAAGTGATTCACCTTTGGAATTTTGTAGCAGTGCAGTGCTAGTTTTGATGAAGTTATAGTAGCTCAACCCTGGAATTAAGTTAGTTTTTGTTCTACTGTGTAACTATTAGCTGTGGATGTGATTTATTTTACCACAATATTTAAAATTATATAACCTATGGTGTGGACACAGTTGTGTTGGCATTGAACTGTGTTGTGTTGGAAGAGTTTTTCCATGCAAGAATGGTTACGTTTGTGTAGAGCCAGTATATAGAGCCGTACCAGTGGAAGAGGAATCACACTGCTCCTTTAATTCTGGTATAAGCAAAGCTGCACAGCTTTTGTAGGGAGGCCTGGCTGTATCCACAGAAATGAAAGTGATTTTACTGTGACTGATCTCATCACTGACTGAGGGATTTAATGCTTATTTTAACTTTCTGCAGATGTTGAAGAACCCAGTACCCAAAGGCTTTTCCCTCAACCAGTAGTTGTGTCTTCCAAGTTGCAAATCCCTGGCCTACCCTTGCGCTGGGAACAGCAGAGCAAGCTCCTTCCAAGTGTTGCTGGGATCCCAGCCAGTAAAGTTTCTAAGTGGAGTACAGATGAGGTAGGTTCCCCACTATCTTCTGTCCCACTGCTCTTGAATTTTTTTAGTTGATTCAGAGCTTTAGATTAACGCCATAAGTAGTAGTCCCAACGATGCACAGGTACTCAGAGGGTTAGAGTCAGCCTGACTTAATGTAACTGATCCTCAAAATGCCCATTTGGCTGCCATCCAGCCTGGGAAGCAGTAAGTATTCATTCATGTATCGATATGTATGTGTATATATGTATTCATTGGCATTAGAGGTAAGTGTATGGCCCACCAGATTAGATGCTCAGGGTATGTCTACACTATTGACATCTAGCATCCTCACAGACATTTCCCAGGCACAGTTTAGGTGCTAGCCCCTGCTAGCCTTACTCCTCTGGATGTGCACGCTGTTTTGGAGGGTGAGAGTATAGTATGAAGAGGAATAACACGGGTGTGGCCAGACCATGACATGTGATTTCAAGGTCAAAGACTTCTAACTGTTTAGGTGTAGTAATGCTTGGGTAGTCAGGGTCTAGTCCTTGATCAGAAGTACCTGTGATTAAGGCACTTTTGTGGAGGTGTGACAATTCGAGCTCTAATCAGAGGCAAAAGAAACATGAACTTTGAAGAAGGATTTGCTGATCTCTGTGCTGTAAGGAATAAAGGAGAGGAAGGCAGCAATGATTTTTGTTTGTGAGACTCGCCAAGAGAGGATTCATGGCTCTAAATCGGGAATGGATAGAAAAACCTGAGTGGTTTTGAGGGAGTTAGCCATATCCCACTCTTAGGTGTCTTGTGGACTAGGATGGCATGTGCTCCTTCCGTTTGCTGCTCCTGTGAATCCTGTGCTGAGATGCCCAGCTGCATGACTCCATGCATTGATAGAAGATGGTGGAAGACCTAATTTGAGGTTGCAAAAACAATAGCTAAAAACCTTTGCTTTAATGCTTGCCAGTCTTTCTTAAGACTATTTTGAGAAAACGCTGGTCTTACGAAAGCTTTCATTGTATTCTTTGGTGGCAGGTTTCTGAATTCATACGGAGTTTACCAGGATGTGAAGAACATGGCAAGGTGTTTAAAGATGAGGTGGGTGAATTTTATTAAAAACAGACACAGAATACAAAACTTAGTGGAAAATTAATTTTATTTTATCATTAAATATACATAAAAATTATGTATGTGCATAAAGCACATGTTTAAAGTCAGAAATAAATGTCTGGAAGATTAGGTTGTTTTGCAGGTCATGGAGTGTGTAACATAAAAGTAGCTAAGTGTCAACCGGCTCTCTTGTTTGTTTATCTAGTTTTGTTACTGCAACTTAAATTACGTAGAACTAATGGACGAAGAGGAGGAACTTAATCACTTACTAATGCTCTCTGTTAATCTGATTTGAGGAAATTTGTTTTTATAAGTACATGCTTTATGTTTAATGGGATGTTCATAAGAAAAAAAAAAATAGTGGTTGAAGTTAGCCACCTGTTAAAACTCTGCATCTTCTCTAATCACACTTAACTCTTGAAGTTCTTCCTCCTGATATAGCTAGGCTGCGTGTATGATTTGAATGACCAGGAAATGAGAATATCTGAATACTTCTGACTGGGTTCAAGGGAGTATGTACCCACTTTGGGAACACCCCAAGCATGCATTTCTGGTATCTGAAAAGCTTGCTATGCCAAAATTGTCATTGGGAAGTGATAGGGCTTTTAGGAATAATAGATCTTTTTAAGCTGGTTTGCTTTTTGTTGTTTTTTTTCCCCCTCTCAAAGGCTTGATAGTTTCAAGAAGGCTATTTGATCATAAATTGTCAAAGTGGAGAGTTCAGGTGCCTATCCCAGCCAGACCACCTGAGTGGGCAGAATATGATCCTGAAATAGCCCAAGTCTACCAGCCTTTCAAGTGTAGAATAAGTGTGGTACTTAAACTTGAGGAGGTAAATGCACCTCCTGAGGAAAATATGTACAGATGATAGAGAGCCAGGTAACCCTCTAATGTGGCAGACATTTTCAGGCTGTGCTGTAGACTTTGTAATGACTATTACAGTGGTGTATCAAAGGACTGATAGGCTGCATCTCTGGCCATTTTGCACTTGCTCAGCTTTTAGGTATTTTGCAATTGTAGTATGATCCAGACCTAGCTCAGTCCCTGGGTCATTTAGGGAGTCTCTCCAATGAATATAAAGATTAATAAAAGCTGGCATGCTGCTAAGCAAGTCAGCAGATGGGAAGTGCCACGGGGATGGATGAATCTTAAACCCTTTCATACTCAGAGATGCAAGAAAACACTTCCTCTCTTTAAGATTGACCTCTCAGGTTTTGTCTATGACTAGCAAATTAAATCTAGGCCAGTGAGGCCAGCTAGCGTGTACTGGCCAACATCCATGTGTTTAATATAGATATAGACTACCTGTTGGAAATGATCTCTTAACCATGCTAACTTCCTGAAACAGGCCTAGAGATCGTTTCAGAGAGTGTCACTTGGCCTGTGCCAAAACCATCCGAGGGGCCATTCTCTGACACTGTTCACTAATATAAACACTATTTATTACTATAGACAGAGCCTAAGAATTACAGGTGCCTAATCTCTTTTACAAACAGAAACTGATACTATCCAGATGTTCAAAGGTACTTCTGGTCTTTCACTTTACAGCTCAATGACTGTAGGCAAGCAAGCAGTACAGCTGGGGGGTTCACCTTCATTTCCCAATTAATGTTTAGGTATACATTAAAATAGTCATTGACGCATCAGTTCAGTTCTCCACAGTTCTGGGTAAATGCCTGAACCATTAGGCTGTGGAGTCATGGTCATTCTTGCATTTACGCTCTTTCTTATGTCCAGTGCTTATACCATTATTCTAACTCTGACAAAGGGGCCTGAAAGACTTTCATTCTGGAATATGCTGTCTGGGTTGTTACACTAAAGGTCTTTCAGTAAGTGGAAGGTGTTGGTTCAAACTTCTCCTGCTGTGGAAACAAAGGTTGATCTTTCTGCTCTTATTAAGATGTTGCAAAAAGATGGGCATCCCCACATTACCATAGTTTTGAGCCCACCCAGTTAGGCTTTGTGCGCAAAATCAGTAGAAAGTAATTGTGGTAGCGGTGTGATTCTGTTCTCACTGCAGTGTTTCTCAACTTAACAGTGCTGTGGTGTACTTTGTAGTCTTCCTTTGCAGCATATCTGACTCAGAAAGTCTTGTGCGCCGGTCTTACAGGAAATCATTTACACTCTCTAGCTCAAATTAGTATCTTTAAGGCGAAACGGTGCACCTAATTTAACCACAGTTGGCTTTTAGTCCAAGCTGTCTTGCCTATGTTATGGTGAAAAGTGACCTAAGTGACCTGAAGTTTACACAGAATTATTTGCTCCAGTAAAACGAAAATCTTTTAAGTCAGGACTTTGCCTTGTGGCTCTTCACGTTCGTGCTTTACACTGTCTCCTGCCAACACAGTGACTTGTTTACAAGAGAATATTCACTAGTTAAATTTACTAAAATAACACTAGTAGATTGAGAGAAAAATGTTTAGTGTTTTCAAAAGTTTTGTCTGTGTTTTTAATAGGCAGTTTTACCTAGCCAGTTCCTTGTTTACATCAGGGACCACGTTCATTTTAATTCTTTGTTATTTTACTAAGAAAAGGAGGCAGTGGAAGAGAGCTTCAGTTCTTTGGTTATGAGTGAAATGCAGCAGCTTTCCTCCGAAGGCTTGCCATAAAAGGAGTAACGGAGAGGTTAAAAAAAGTGATTGTGTTACAGTGCAGCTGAATTCTACTTCGTGTACCCTTTTTACTTTTTAGTAGCTTTTACTTTATCCCATGAGTATGAAAATAAAAGGCAGTTAGCCAAAAATTAGCCAAACAGTTCTTTTCAAATAGAAAAGGGATTGTCGTCCTATTGTTTTGGACTGGCTCATCTGCCTAAGAGGTTTAAAGCAAAATTGTGCTGAAGTTTGAAAGCATTTGTATTCAGCATTCCTTTATACCCTGTCTGAAATTGCTTGAAGTTTCTTTTCCTGTATCTGAAGCATTTATTTTGCTGTACTGTGAGTTCTATTAATAGCTGTATTTGTTTTTCTTTTAAAGCAAATTGATGGAGAAGCATTTCTGCTAATGACCCAATCAGACATAGTCAAAATAATGAGCATTAAACTGGGACCAGCCCTAAAAATCTTTAATTCCATTCTGATGTTCAAAGCTGCAGAGAAAAACTCACACAATGAACTTTGAAGATAATGGAAAATGTGTACAAACCAGCTTTCTCCACGGGAGCTCATGTTTTATTCAAAGCACAAAGACTCACTAGAACTGTTGAATAAGGACTCTCAGAAAAGAAGAAAAGTAGGTTCGGCACTGGTGGACTATTTATATTCTCCTAGAGCCAGTACACATCTGAATCCTTCTGGGAAGTGCTCAAGCTTTTAAGAAGTTACTGCATAACAACCGAGTCAGCTAGTCTTATTTACCAAACTAATGGCGCTAATTTTCCATGGATGGTTAGGATCCCTGACTTTCTCTGGACATCAACAAAACCTTCATTAATTATTTATGCTGTATTATATGAGGGAATGTTAATATTTTTTAAGAATTCTTGAATTCTACTTCATGTACCCATTTTACTTTTCAGTAGCTTTTACTTTGTACTATCAAAATAAAAAACTGGTTGGCCAAAAATTAGGCTACAGGTAGCCAGATGAGACTGTTATGGCTAATATGAATTTGTGCCATAGTTTAAAAACGAAACACTTAATGCTACATACGTGACACTTTATGCTACAGCGTATAACTTTACCGATTACAAAAATGTCTGTTTGCTTGTAACAAAACAAACAAAAAAACCTTGTTGGGGGTTGAAATTATAATGCATTTTTGATAACTGAATGTTTTTACTTTTGCACGATTACAAAAATGTTATGTGAGTTTTTCCACCAGCATCTTTAATGTATTTTACCAAAAGATCAGTATAGAGAAGGCTGCAACTGAAAAATAAAGTTTGACTTCATAGAAGACTTTTGTTCATGCTGCGCAATAGAGTCCCAGCTTTTTACGTGGGAGCCTGCTACAGTCCTTCAGCACATGAAGGAAAATACGTGTATTTTGAGGTGAGAATATTAACAAAAGTTACCACAACAGTTGAGAAAAACAGTGTGCTAAAGCTAGGACAGCTACTCTGGCTTCATGCTCAACATATGCTTGTTTTCCCAAAGGTGGGAGAATTATTTAACCCTCCACTTCCTAGATTGAAAGTCTGTAATATATAAATGAATAAGGCATAGAGGGAAGGACAAAGCAAGGAGGAAAAGGATACTTAAATGCATATGGTGCATAAGCACATCCAGGGTGAAAGGCATGAACTTCACCAGTTCGTCAGCAATGCTGCAGGTTCCACCAGCAGGTTCTTAGGTGAGGCACCCTTCTTTCTTGAAGGATTATTAAAACAATTTGTCAGGGAAAGTTGTTGCACTTGGTATATATACATAAGATGTAAACCGGATGCACTTTAAATTGGAGAAGGCCTAGCTACCTTGTATACTGAGGATTGTTCCAGAATTTTACTTTTGCAAGAGGAGGGAGAAGAGCTGGATCAGGTTTTCTGGAAACTTTCTTTTTAGTGCTGAGGTGGGCAATTGCTCGGCCTTAAGAGTTAAGAACAAACAGAGCATCTCTGTTGCACAGAACTCAGAGAATTTTAAATCTTCCCACAGTTTTTGCTAGGTTCTTCTTTGGCTGGAGTTCCTCAAGATTCCAAGAACTCTGTGTGCCCCTTCCAGACCACTTAGGTGACTGGTACCTGCCATAATATGAGGTAAAACAGGGTCAGTATGAAGTAAGTTGCATTGCTCTGTTAATTTCCTTCCATAGCATTGCATAAATAATATTTTTACATTTTGTTCAAAATTTGTACATTCAAATTGCACTCTTATTGTACGACAATACAAATAAAATCTGAATTGGAGATGTCTGTTACATTTGTGTATGCCTACGATTCTCACAGATGAACCCTGCTGTTTGAGAGGGTGGTGTGGAGTAATTCCTCACTGTAGTTCAATGTGACCATGTTTTCGAAAGAGCAACTTAGCTGCTGCTCTCTGCCTTCTCGCAAAACACTTGTAAGGCTCATAGGCTGCTTCTTGTTAAAGTCAGAATCCCACTTATGGTCCTGGATTTTATCAGTGGTGACAGCGGAAGTTGCTAATGCAGGAAGTAAAATGCCAAATTTGCTGCCGGCTTTCCTTCAAAGTAGTTAATTTCCCTGAACCCTCGCGCTCTGTGTCTCTCTCCCAAGTGCTGGCTCTGTAGCCACAGGTATCTCTTCCTCATGTTCTCCCTTCCATGGCATTTCCCATGTAGACCAGTGTACCCTGGTGGATGCTTCTGTCCAACGGAGAGCCTGGACACCTCTGCCAAACTGAAAAGCAAGAGCCTGAACCAGCCTTTCAGTGAGAACGAATGAAGAGATTTGCTGCTCCAACCACTTTTTATATACCTACTAACAAAGTACGGTGTTTAAGAAATGGGTTCCAATTAATACCATTTACAAGATGCAGAATAAGCCTCTATTAAATGATACAGCGTCCAATTTTTTTTTTTATTCACGCAGCTATTACAATAGTGAGGACACGCAGAATCATTTACTTTCCATTTGCTGGATTCCTCTTTCATATGAAAGATACGAATATGTGTTGAGGTAACAGAACATAGCAGCTTCTGCTACAGAGGTTACACCTAACAAAATGAATAAGAAACTAAAAGTGCTCAGAAAACCTACTGGATCTTCAAAATGGAAATTGGTTTGGTTTTGAATCTTGTGTTGGCAGCAGTCCAGCAATTACGTGTTAAGGGTGTACTGTGATTTGTATGGGAGCCAAGTAAGTATGCTAAGACTTTAGCAAGAGAGTCTTACCATCAAACACAGTATTATCTCCTCATACTCCCACCGCAATCTCTGCACTGGCCTGAGCCCTGCACAGCCAGGTTTAACAAAACTTCTGCAAACTTGCAAGGTGAGTGTTTAAATAGTAGTGGTGATCACGGATGCTGTTTTGCTGACATGGACATTTTTGGAACTGGTAAAAAATTGATCTCTGTAGTGGAATGGACTGTTTAAATTAAAAGTCCTTTTTGTTTCTGCATAGGGTAATTAATGCAATAGTTCAAGTAAAGTTTGCTGGCTGCTTCTACTGCCCATCACTACCAAACTTGTCTGAAGCCCGGCATTATCAGGCTGTAACCCCGGGATCTCTCCTGACCTGCAAGGCTCAGGGAGATAAAAGGGCTGTGTAAGGGAGAAGAAGAGGCTATTGAAGAAGAGAAGACACGACCTTTGTTCCATGTGGGCACAGAAGAAATTCACCATGTGGAGAAGGCCAGTTTTAACAAATTCAGAAAGGAATGAGTAGCTCTCTTCCCCAGTGCCAAAGCTGCAGTTACAAAGGCACGTGGCAGCATCCCAGATGATAACTCAATCTTGCTGCTTTGAGAGCTCATCTTAGAATTTTGTTAGTAAATTCAAGATGTTTTTTTTAAAAAAAAAAAAAAGGACTAATGTTTCATGCATGGGGAAAACTGAAAGTTCATCATCCTGCAAATTAAAAAGCAAGCCCACCATTTTAAAATGCAATAAATTATTATAGTACACTTTCAGTGGTCATAATATAGCGAAATGGTGGCAACATGCAAATCTTTAATTTGTGACACTTCATTAAATATATTAACATCTGAAGCAGCAAAGTGCTTAATTCACAAGTGTGATTATTTTTTAACTCTGACAGTCAAAACGTGATCTGAATTTGGAAAATGCTCCGTTTGGAAAAATAATACACAACACATGCAGTAAACTATAAAATTTTATTCTAATGCTAAAACTGCTATAGAATTTCCATTTAAAATAATGAAAATGCTCAGGTTTTAAATTTTAAAGAAGTAGCCAATACAATAAAAACCAGACATTATAAAACACAACTGCGTTATAAATGTTGATCCACTTTCACTAGAAAGACTGAGTGATTGATCTTCACAACAACACAATTACTTTTTGACGGAATGTCAAATGCTCCTGCAACAAGTGTTGTGCAGACTATCAAATATTGGGATGTTTAGGTAGCTCCAGTCCTCTCTTTACCTGGGCCAGGAGGGATGGTGACCCACTCATCTCAAAGATCAGAGACTGCAGGAAGTTCAGCGTTCTATGGATTCTCTTTGGACATGGGATATCAAACACATGAAATGCAGCCACCAAAGCTGCCAGAGCCATGGTACAGTCATCGAGCTGAGTTAGCTCTTCTTTTTCTATATACAGAGCAAACTCGCATGAATTCACATTGAAGGGTTTTTTTACTTTGAGCACTGGTGTTATCACACCCACCTGCAATTGGAAAAAAAAAAAAATTCAAATGATGCCACAACATCACTGAATTATAAGTTGCAATAACAGTTCAGAGAGTTAAGTAAGCTTAATAACAGTGCTTTGAATTTAGCTAGTATTTCCATGAATATTTTATGCAAAATGCAGGCCAATGATGTCACCCCTTTTCCAGGAACTAAGCTGAGCCACCAAAAGGCCAAGTGATGTGCCCAGGCCACTCATATGAAGACGAGAGACCAGGGTTGCTGGTGCTCTGTCTCCTACCTCCTCATTCACTGCAGCAAACAGACTGGAATCATCTCCAAAGACATCTGGCAGAAGTAAACATGCAGCAGTCATTTTCATATCTGTCGAAGGCAAGGGTTTCTACTAAATTACAAATGAAAACATTCTCATGCTACAGTATCAGCCTGGAAAAAAACAGGTTGTGGCTTATGAAATTATTGTTAACAGCTCAGCAGCAGAACTATTGTTCCATCTGTTTTGAAAAGTAGATTGTACCATAAGTAAAAGTTTAGGTGCCGCAGCTTCTAATGGGCAGTAGCATTCAAATCATTCATGACACTCTGCTACCCAGTACTGTGGCTAAATTTGTCTCCAAAGAAGTAAACAGGCTTAGAAGAAGTGAGTGGTTTCAAGTGGAGTTTGCTTGCTGGGTTCCCCCTGCCCCCAAACTCCTCTCTCCCCCATAATCTCTGGGGAGCCCTGTAGTCAGAGGTGTTCACTCCACAGCGAAGGCTGCAGGACAAGCTGGTGCTGTGGTACCTGCTACCCCTGACAGGAGGCTCTCCTGCATGCCGGAGAACAGTGGCGCCACTGATACTATCACTGATACTATATCACTGATACTGATACGCGCTGCTCCAGCATTGGCTACGGAAACACCAGCTACTGCTGGTGGGAGAAGGGAGAAGCCAACTTGCCTGCAGGCAGTAGATGAAGGAAGATGAAGGCAGAGGGAGTCAGTGGTGCAGAAGGAAAGCTGAGCTAGAGGGGACAGGATGGCTTTGGAATAATTTAGTGTCGCATATACTTATTAACAGTACCTATATGTAACTGCACATGTAGCACCTATCGTCCTTTCATTAACTGCATATATTCAAAGCCAAGTTGTTCATCAGAAAAATCTAAGAAATTAATGACCTTGTGACTTATCAAAGTATGAGTTGTTAAGATCTTTGGGGGAAAATTGTATAAGAAAAAAAAAAAAACATTAAAAAAAACCTATACAACATCCATTGCTATCTAAGGCCAAAAATACAAGCAGAAAAGCCAAAAAGGTTTTCTAAACGGGTTAGGGTATTCACTGACTTTTTTTTTTTAATCTATTGTAGGCTATTGAGTACTCATCTTTGTCAGTTTAAAAGAACAAAAACCCAGTATCATAACATAGGCTAGTCACTTCATTAACAAACAGCTTGGTAATAAAATTGGGTGAAACGCCTATGGGAAATGCACATA